GATCTGCTGTGGCAATTCGGCGGGAGGTCCTTCGCTCTGAGCGGGAGTGAGGGACTGTCCACCGAATTGCCGCCGAGTAGCTGGACCTGCCGCCCCTCCCTGGAGTGGCCGCCCCAAGCACCTGCTTGCCAAGCTGGTGCCTGGAGCCGGCCCTGCTCCGCAGGCAGAGGAGATCTAATATCTCCCGAGACTCCTGCCTGTTTCAGCCCAGAGCGTGTCTGACGCATGTAGCCGGCATGGTCAGCTGGGCAGTTGTGCATAATAATGGAGAGCTGCTAGAGGTCTGCTCACCAAGATGCACAATCAGGAAAAGGCATTTCAAAAATTCACAGGGTTTTAAAGCCGGGGGGCTTCCCGTTTCCAGGAAGGGGAGTTAACAATTGTGACCAGGGCAGTCAGTGTCAGGCATTGTTAGACAGTTGCTGGAGGACTGTTAGGGTATGTCTACACTACGAAATTAGGTCGAATTTATAGAAGTCGATTTTTTAGGAAGCGATTTTATACAGTCGATTGTGTGTGCCCCCACTAAGCGCATTAAGTCGGCGGAGTGCATCCACAGTACCGGGGCTAGCATCGACTTCCGGAGCGCTGCACTGTGGGTAGCTATCCCACAGTTCCCGCAGTCTCTGCCGCCCATTGGAATTCTGGGTTGAGCTTGCAATGCCTGATGGGGCAAAAACATTGTCGCGGGTGGTTTTGGGTACATGTCGTCAGTCGCCCCTCCTTCCGTGAAAACAACAGCAGACAATTGTTTCGCGCCTTTTTTCCGTGCTTTCAGCAATTGGACTGCTAACCGTCGTCATCGAACGACCGCTTCCGCTGCCACTCTGCTCTCCTGCTCTGGCCACAGACGGAGCAATAAGTCAGAAAAACTGGCATTCGAACCACCACTTCCGCTGCCACTCTGCTCTCCTGTCTCGATCGATAGCGAATTTCTCCATGTTGGCTGTCATGGGCTCCCGCTTCCGCTGCAACTCTGCTCTCCTGCTCTCATGAATCCACCTCGCAGGTCCTCTCGTTGTTCTCTATAAATATCTATTCTCGTTGCCTCTCTCTATAAATATCTATTCCGTCATCCACCGCTTCTGCTGCAACTCTGCTCTCCTGCAGATGCCATACCACAGCAAGCATGGAGCCCGCTCAGATCACCGCGGCAGTTATCACTGTTGTAAACACCTCACGCATTATCCTGCAGTATATGCAGAACCAGAACCTGCAAAAGCAGGCGAGGAGGCGATGGCAGCGCGGTGACGAGAGTGATGAGGACATGGACACAGACTTCTCTCAAAGCACGGGCCCTGGCAATGTGGACATCATGGTGGTTCATGCTGTGGAATGCCAATTCTGGGTCCAGGAAACAAGCACAGACCTCAGCGAAACCAATATTCCCATAGTTATTACTGCTTGCTGTGTGCTCCACAATATCTGTGAGAGTAAGGGGGAGACGTTTATGGCAGGGTCGGTTGAGGCAAATTGCCTGGCCGCTGATTACGCGCAGCCAGACACCAGGGCAGTTAGAAGAGCACAACAGGGCACGCTGCGCATCAGAGAAGCTTTGAAAACCAGTTTCATGACTGGCCAGGCTACGGTGTCAAAGTTCTGTTTGTTTCTCCTTGATGAAAACCTGCCCCCTTGGTTCACTCTACTTCCCTGTAAAACAACCGCCTTCCTCTCCCCCCTTCGATCACCGCTTGCAGAGGCAATAAAGTCATTGTTGTTTCAAATTCATGCATTCTTTATTAATTCGTCACACAAATAGGGGGATAACTGCCAAGGTAGCCCGGGAGGGATGGGGGAGGAGGGAAGCACCAGGTTGGGTAGGGGAGGAGGGAAGGACAAGGGCACACTGAACTTCACAACTTATTGAATGCCAGCCTTCTGTTGCTTGGGCAGTCCTCTGGGGTGGAGTGGTTGGGTGCCCAGAGCCCCCCTCCCCGCGTTCTTGGGCATCTGGGTGAGGAGGTTATGAAACTTGGGGAGGAGGGTGGTTGGTTACACAGGGGCTGAAGCGGCGGTCTGTGCTCCTGCTGCCTTTCCTGCAGCTCAACCATACGCCGGAGCACATCAGTTTGATCCTCCAGTAGCCTCAGCATTGCCTCCTGCCTCCTCTCATCATGCTGCCGCCACCTCTCCTCTTGCTCCAGCCATCCCTCCTGTCCTCGCGTTCATTTTGTGCTTTCCTGGACTCTGACATTGTTTGCCTCCACGCATTTTGCTGGTCTCTTTCAGTGCGGGAGGACTGCATGAACTCAGAGAACATTTCATCGCGAGTGCGTTTTTTTCGCCTTCTTATCTGCGCTAGCCTCTGGGACGGAGGTGATAGGGGGAGCGTTGAAACATTTGCAGCTGCGGTAGGAAAAAAAAGGGAGAGTAGTATTTAAAAAGACACATTTTAGAGTACAAGGTCACATTTTGCCTCTTATATTGAGGGCCTGCCGGTTTGGTGTGAGAGATCACACACACAGGGCTGGGCAACGAAATTCGGCTTGCAGGCAGCCATGGTAAGACAGTCTTTTGGCTTCTTTAAGTCTTCAGGGCAAATTAATCATTAAACATGCTTGCTTTTAAACCATGTATTATATTTACAAAGGTACACTCACCAGAGGTCCCTTCTCCGCATTCAAGGTCCGGGAGCCCGCCTTGGGAGGGTTGGGAGGGTATTTGCTCCAGGGTGATAAACGGTTCCTGGCTGTCGGGGAGAACGGTTTCTCTGCTTGCTTGCTGTGCGCGTTCTTCAACCTCCTCCTCATCATTTGGGGGAGGGATAGCTCAGTGGTTTGAGCATTGGCCTGCTAAACCCAG